CAGCTGTCCCAGGCAGTCAACTGCATTAATAAGCCCTCACGTCAAGATGCCCTGGGTCAGCATGCAAATCTGGAGCTACGTACCCTCAGAACAAGAGTCTGAATTGAATACCTTCCAGTCCTACATAATATCGTGGTAGTACTCAGATCAGAATCAAAGTGCAAATCAAACCAGTTTACCTGTAGCTGGGAATGAAGTCTAAGCCAATTCAATCTTAAATTTCAATATCTGTAGCTCATAATATCAGATGCAGTTCCTGCCTCCTAAAGCACCAGCATGTTTACTTCTTAGGCAAGCTTTTTAAATCCCTCTTCCATGGTAGCAACAGGGATGTTTTCGTCACTTGATCCTACAGATTGTGTCTTCACTTCAGTGACACGTTTGCCACTTTGTGCAGAGCCCAAACACGCTGAAGTTTGCAGAGGGGTCAGCTCTTAGGGCCTGCGCTCATATTGCTGTTGGTGGGAGCTAGCATCCTCCTGTAACATAGCCTGATCAGTCCCAGGGGCTTGTGCATTTGCTGAAATGAGAGTCAGAGAGGACAGAAGGATGAGCAGACAGGATGAAGCTTTGTGGTTTTGTGTAGCTTCATGCTCTTTAGGTTGATGTTTTATGGCCAACATAAGCACACAACTTCACAATGTAATGTGCTGTATGCATTATTCTACTTTTTTAATGGTTTGTCCAGGAGCACAAACAAACTTTCTCCCTGTACTTATTAACAGATTCAAGTTTTTCCCTCACACTGTTGAACTGTGCTACCAGAACTCCTTGCTGCAGACCAGTGAAGAGTTGGTTGTGGTCGTAGTGGGACCCCTCACCTTGAATGCTGGGTTGCTGCTTATGGTCCTGATCAGATGGGTCTGTCAGCAGCGATTTGACTCATTCCCTTCCTTCTTGTCAAAGTTTATCATAGCTCTGGGACTCTGGACAGTGCTGGACCCGTTGGCAGTGTTTATAGTGGATTCATTCCTGGGGGTAAGTCACTTAAAATAACTTGGACGTGAGTCCTTGACGTAGAAGTTTGTTTTATTCAGTGAATCAGCGGAAGATATGAAATTCCACCCGTGGCAATGGAACATGAAAGTTAAAAAGAAATTAAGTAATAATGTTATACATTACCTTTTTATTAACAAAATTCCCATCTAATGGAGTCGCCGTGTTTCTGCATAAAGCAAAGATCACTGCATGAGCCATATATGGAGATGAGAAAGTGAATCCACTGCTGGAATAATTGCATCTGCTTTGAAAAGGATTATTTCAATTTTGGATATTAATGGAGATAGATAGGCTAATGATTATTAGCATTTCAGATTTTTTTCTGAGCATTGAAAAAAAACTGAAAAAAACTAGCAAAACAAAATGGACATGTTGTTATGCACTTCTCCAACATGGGAGATGGTCAGTACTCTTTTCTGGCATATCTAGAAGACCTGTAAGGTCACAGAATCATAGAATGGTTTAGGTTGGAAGGGACCTTAAAGATCATCTAGTTCCAATTCCTCTGCTATGGGCAGGGCTACCACCCACCAGCTTATGCTGCTCAGGGCTCTCTCCAGCCTGGCCTTGAACATCTCCAGGCACGGAGTACCCACAGCTTCTCTGAACAGCCTGTGCCAGTGCTTATCACTAAATTCTAACCTAAATTTCCTTTCTTTTGGTCTAAAGCCATTCCCTCTATTTATTTCCTATTACTATCAAACTGTGTTAAAGGGTCAGTACCCCTCCTATTTATAAGCTCCCTTCAAGTTCTGGAAGGCTGCAGTGAGGTCTCCTCGGAGCCTTTCCTTCTCCATACTGTGCAACCCCAGCTCCCTCAGCCTGTGTTTGTAGGAGAGGTGCTGCAGCATTCTAATAATCTTTATGACTCTCCTCCAGACTCTCCTAACAGTTCCACATCTTTCTTGTGCTGAGGACCCCAGGCCTGGACACAGTACTCCAGATAGGTGTCCATGAGGACAGGCATGAAGACAAAGATACAAAGAAATACCCTCATTGTGCAAAGTCTTGAAAGCAAAGATCCCAGCTCCACCTGCGCCTGCATATGGGCTGCATAGACCATCTATACACTGGTGGCAAGGAGACCTCTGCTGTGTCAGTGTCCAATCACTCAGAATATGACTTTCAGATCCAGGTCTCACAGTGGGCCCTATCAGTGGGCACAGGGAGCTGCAAGCCTTTGTAAGCTTCTGTGCTATTGCTGTTCCTCTGCCTGCCTTCAGTGACATCTTTTTCTGCTCCGAATCAAGCAGTAATCCACCATCTTTGTCACTGATCTGGTATTTGCATGTCTCATGATTCCTTGTCTACTAATCTGTGCTCTGCTCTTCAGAAGTCCTTTTAAAATGTGATTCTCTGTTGTTTACGTGCTGCTTCTGATTGCTGTGCTTTTCAACATTAAAATTTAGCTGCCCAAGAAGTTTAATTGGAGCTTCTTGTGAGGTAACTTCCTAATTTGCCTAATGCCTAAACTGCCTAATGTGGCAACACACTGTAGCTTTCACTTGGACAGCCTGTTTTTTTTTTTTTTTTTTTTTAATGTTTATTTGTTTTTAATGGTGCAAGCCATGCAAAGATTTGAGTTTCAGTTGTGATTATTATCATGAATAATTTTTTTTCCTAAGGAGAAATATGTTTCTTTTTCACCAATATATTGGCTAGAAATATCTCAGTGTTTAAAAAGATTTTCTTCCCCTCTGCCCAATATTGATGTAGTCATAAAATCTGAAGGAAATGCTGAGTTAGGTCTACCTTGTCATTACCATACTTGCATTGAGAAAATCATTGCCTTTGACTTCTGTTGAATTGTGCTTGGTTCTAGTCAGGCTGGCTTTGTTACCAATTTCAAATACAGCTTCTTTTCTTGGTCAGAGGGAAATGTGAGATATGAATAAAGTTACTGAGTTTTTTGTTATAGGGTTTAAAAAGGCACAACTCTCTCTGTACTTCATACTGAAAATTTGGCAATTTTACCAGCAGAGATTATCGTTGGGAGAAACTCATTTGTTCAAATATTACACAATATAATGTGTGTATCCCTTCCAAAATGAAACTGTGTCTCTTACATGTGTTTTTGGTCATGCATTTGTATGTTTTTTTAATCTTGGCATTCTTTCAGCAGCTATTTCAGACTTACTTGCCAATCTATTTTAGAGCAAGTTTTGAAAAAATGTTGTGCTGTGGTAATATGAGTAATTTTAGTGCTGGAGTGTATTTTACTATTCTAAATTGATTTAATACTTATGAAAGATGACGGAGAGCCCTGGGGACAAAAGTTTCTCCATTTACTACTTTTTTATTTTTAAGGAGAGACCAGATAAGAATTGAATGTTTGGGGATTTCAGCTCATATTTCAAGATATCATGTCAAATGTGTGATCCCAGGTTTGCTTTGCAGGCAGATCATTCTAGACATAAGAAACTTGTCCCTGATTGTGATGAAATCAGCTCAAGGTCCAGTTCTGACAGATTTTTTCCTAGGATCAGCCACTTTGCACAGCTTGTAAAATTCAGAATAACGCCTCTTCACACCCATACAGATGTGTGTCATACTAAAAAACATTACAGACTGTGAAGTGCTCACACAACCATCACTGTGTGTTGTGACAAGTACCTAAGACAGATATTGATGAACGCTATCAATGAATGCTACTTAAACAATTTAAAATGAAGGCGCCTTTCTTGGATTGTACCTTTGAAGACCACAAAAAAATATTCATTATTCAAAAAATATGGATAAAGAGATGCACTTCTCCAGACTGTTTTTGCCTTTTCAGAAAGGACAGTTTGGATAGGAAAGAAATTTATTTGCCACTCAGACTTTGCCTCTCTGGAGGCATATCAGAACGTGACTGCTCTGCAGAGGGTTTTCCTTGGTAGACAGTTGATTTTGTAAGAAGATGAAGGCTTTTTTTTTTCCCTCCAAGAAGAGAGGACAACAGGGAGATAAAGAAGAACTAAGAGACAATTTTTATTTATTTATTTATTTAAGAATACTGACAGATCTAAACTAGTGACTACTTTTTATATGCTATTACTGGTCTCCTGGGTCCTGTAATTTCCATTACAGAAACCTGGCAGTGTTGCAAAGGGTGGAGAGAGAACAAAAGTACAGTCAAGAATCACATTCCATGTATAGCTCATCACAGGACTTGTAAATGTTGCTCTTTTACTATGCATGTCACCACAAAGGTGGCCAACAATAGGGAGAAAGTTTCGACTCCCTACGGATTTGTCCAGGCAGGTTGCTCCAGAATATGCTGGTTCCTGAATCCTAAAGGTCACCAACTCCCTCTCTGAGAGATAAATCCTGGAAGTTTTTGGTGCTGCAGTTTCATATGTCCTTGCAAAATGTGTTAACATTATTTAGAATGAATCGTGTTACTTTTCAAAAAGAAAAAAAAAAAGAAACGTGAATGGAAGAATTTATTTTAGCTCTGAGTAGTAGAAGACCTGTGATATGTAGTTGAATTCTTCTAAATTGATCCAGCAGAGGGCAATAATATGTCAATACAGTAGTTAGTACTCAAGAATTAGATATGGGGGAGGGGGAAGGGGGGGGGGGAATAGATTTTTTTAAAACCTTCTCCTGTATATTACTGGAAATAGATTGAAGCATAGAGCGCTGTGAAATTTTCACCATTCTTTGTGAATCATTGTAAAAAAAAAAAATACGCAAACTACATTATCCCCAATTAAATTAATATTTTCATTCTATGAGTATTAACTCCTTATATACAAATAGTATGCTAAGTTTTAAGATGCATGTCCCACAAATTACAGTTAAACTTTTAGAAATAAATTCATGTTCTTCTGTGTCTGCATGTACAGAGCCTAATTAAGTCTGGCGTTTTCTTATGTTCATCTTTTTTCTCCCACGGCAGCGACTTGCATACAGTGTAGAGAAACCCATTGCTGATGCTGCAAAGCTCTACTGGGTGTTTCTAAGATCGGAGGAATCAGGGGTTTCTGGTGCACTAATCACTGTGATTCTTTATACAGTCCTGTTCATCATCTCATCGACAGTGTTGTACCTTTACTTTCTAAGGTATGTCTTTTTATCTCATTATTCCCGTAAGAGCTTAGGCTCAGGCTCCTTCTCCTGTAAGATAAAATAAGGTGACATCAGAAAAGATGTTTCAGTGTCACATATACTGAGCCTGAAATTGCAGACAGTCAAGGTGGGGTTAGTTCCGGTAGGGACAGTGAGTGAAAGATGGAGCCATATCTCAAAGGGAATGTTACTGATATCACGAGTTTTCACAGTGTCTACGAGACTCTGTTCCACTGGTTTCTAACAGTGGTGTCTGTTTTCAAAGTGTAAGCTCTGAAGTGTGTGTCCTTAACATGTAGGTACTTTGGAAAACCTGTTCATTAGACTTCCTAGGAGGGTTTTTGCAAGAAACAGAAAAACTTTAGAAAGTTACGTATGGTATGAAGTACAAAATCTCTCCCTGAGTACACAGCAGCCCCCAGACTTGTTATGTCCATGGGATGATGCAGGATATTTGACCTGATGAGGCTTAAACCTGGTGCATGACATGACTTAATTTGAATAATCTTTCCTTGATTTTTGTCTGTTAGCAATATTAATAGACTTCTGTTCATCATGAAATTTGACCAGTTGCCTTTCCTGCCACCCGTCTGGCACATACCATTAACTGTACAGGCAGTAGGGAAAGGTCTGGGACGCTGGAAGCAAATGAGAAAGATTGTCTAATATATTACCTAATAAAGAACTGAATGTTGCATTGCATTCACTGCAGCGATTATCAAGCAAGCACCAATAAAAATCTGTACAAAGAGGCAAATCCAGGCAGGTGTGAGAATAGCAAAGCTCAGTATGCTCCTTCCATTTGACAGAACCATCCCTCGGTCTTTCTCACACAAACTCCACTGCAGCAGGCAGAAAAAGATAAATGGCAATCTACATTTCTGCAAAGTATTTCAAAGCTCCTGCTTTCCTGGAAGCTGTACACAACTCCAACGAACTGGTAGTCTAGTTAATTAGTTTTTGAGATGTTAATGCCTTCTTAATCATCGACTTAATAGTTTTGAATAGCTTCATAAGTTTTAGCTGCTGTCGTTTATTACTCAGGAAAATTAATTTAAATTAAAACATTTGTAAGGCAGGTTTTTATGAGAATATTACCAACATCTTCATTGTCTGGGGAACAGGTGCAAGATCATCAAAGGTTCCTTTCCTTCTGGATCAATTTTCCCATAATGTTTTCCAATAAAGGGGTGGGGAGAGAATGTTACTGGGGGAAAAATGTTGTCTTAGTATGCTGCATTTTTAAAATGATTCATAGCAAAATACGAAAGCTAAGGGAAGATAACAAAATCTGTTATAGTGCATAAGGTCTTTGAAGTTTTTTGCTTGATTATAAAAAGAAACATTTTGAATACTGGAGAGCATGCAGAGTAAATTTATACTGTGAGCTTCTGAAATTGGATCAACTTTTTATCTTTTTCTTCCTTGTCTGTCCACAGCCTAGCACAGTAAGAAACTTAGACCTGGCTAGGGCTCTTCAGTAACATGTTATCCACTAATGATAACGTTAAAACAATTTCAAATATCTTTAAGGAAAACATCAATTCATAACCTTAAGTGTGTTCCCTAGATATTGATATTTGCTTTTGTTTGTAAGAGAAAATAGTATGATAAACAAGGCCATAATTGCCCTTGGTGGGGGTATACAGCATCCCCAGATGCTGTATCCCAAAGATATTCAAACATTAGAATGTTGCTGGACTCAGAAAACATGTTTTTTTTGCCATTACAACCACCACACCCTTCCCTTGTAAGGTGAACCAGTACAAATCTTGAGGGATGTCTTCTGTGTCTGAAGAAACCTACCACAGGAAAGAGCTGGGTGGCAGAGTTAACTCCACTGATTAGAATTACTCAGCCATTTGCCATTTAGCAGAGCTGTTCAGTAGCGTACAAAAAAGGGGGTAAGAACCATGAACTCACCAGAATGCCAAAGCAAGTAGGGGAAATGCCTGTTTCTGCCGCAGCTAGAGAGCTTCCTGGCAGCACTGATGAACAACTGGGAAGCTATGAGAATCAAGATAATAGGCTATGAAAGTCAAGATAACAGGCAACTTCTTGTGTCTTCATAAAACAGCAAACCTCAGCATAACTGGCTCTTCTTGGATAACTTGAGAGTCTGTAGTACATCTGCGAAGGAGGGATATTCTAATTACTTTATTAAAAAATGGAGTAGCATTTCTTGCAGTTCCTTCATTTGAATTCCACTAGGCATTAGAAACAGTCAGTAATTTGTTGGTGAAATGTTTTCTGCACTGTGAGAAAATGCAGACCTATTTCAAACTGAAAGTGTCTGCTGGAAAGTGTTTATGTCTAAATTTCCTGGTATTGAATTTTCTTGTTATTTTCTTTTTTTTTTTTTTTTTTTTTCTTTTTTCTTTTTTTTCTTTTTTCTTTTTTTTTGGAAAAGCCTCAAAATTCTACATTTTTCAATGTTAACAACAAAATGATTTTAATTTTTTTACAGCTTTTTTTTTTTTTTTCCAAAAAAGTGTGTGAAAGGAAGAAATAAGGGAGCAGTAAATTGTTGTAAGCATTCTTCTCTTCAGTTTTTTGTCTGTGAATTTTTTAGAAATCCATTTTTTTTTTTTTTTTTTAATCTTACTCTGGATAGTAAGCCACTTCAATCTTATTTTGTGATTCTTTCTGACAAATTAAGGAACTTGTAAGATTTACTGGGTCTCTCATATCTCTAGGAAGTAGAATATGAATTTTGCTTTGCTCTATTACATTAGCAATATAAATTATTACTATTGTATCTGTAAAAGCCATGTGCACATACAACAAGTGTTTTATTAATGATAATGCTAAAAAAAAAAGGAGAGTAAAATCAGGTATCAGGAGCAGGCTGAGTACATTTGGGCAAAAGGAACAAAGCTGGAAGATAGGCTTCACGATTCCTAATTAATTCAAAGTTAATTATATTGTTTATTACCATGCACTTAAAATCTTCATATAGAAAATGTTTATGGCAGCAAATAGACAGTAATTTAACTGCATTAAATTTTGCTTTGTTTAAAATAAGAATGTTACATTAAGTGAGTTTAAATAAATGGTGAGGTCTTGTTCTTGTTTAGCAAGATAAGTGGCAAGCCATTGAAATTGCTGACCTGGAATTTCAAAGACTAACAGCACACAAAATCATTTTTCAAGATGAGCAGAAGGCCAGAGAGACCACCAGCTTGATTACTAGGTTTTCAACTAAGCACAGGATAGTACAAAATTATGGGTCAGCATTTGCAAAAATGTAGTAAAACAAACATCTAACGTAATCCGGATAATAAGAGACAAATGTTTCTTTAAAAAAGCTGTAGAACATGTAGAACTACACCTTGAATGGTATTGATAATGTTTTTTTAAAAAAACTATTCTATAATGTGTTTTAAGATGCCTTTGGTATCCTTCTCTACGTTGCACTGATTTATATTCCATGCTTTGGATTTTTTTTTATTTTTTCTTCATAACCAATTTCCTTATATTGCCAGGGTTACCAACATCTCAGTTAGGTTGTCTTCCATCTGGTCTCCTCTTCTGGTAAGGGAATCCCACACTGACGTCTTGGAATCTTAAACAAATTTCTGGCTGCAACTACAAAAAAGTGTTTCAAATAGAAAGAGTGCAAGAGCTAAAGCTCCTTCTGAGATCGAGTTGAAAATTGGCCTTTTGGTGCTATTCCTTATTTCTATTCCATGCCGAATCTCAATTTTGGGAGGAATTGTTTAAACAGCTTGTTGAGTGAGCTTCTCTGCAATTACTGTGTTCACTGTAAGGCACGATGTAAAGCTACTGCAAATGCTAACTTCATTCTGATCTTGTTGACAAGAATTCAGAGGGTTAAAGAAGCTGTGCTTGTGCTCACTCCCAATTGCTGAGAAATGAAAGACCTGTACAGCACCACAGAAATCTGGGTATTTTGTTGCTTGCAAAGCCACACAGCAATCCCCACACTTCTCATGACTACTCAGCTGGTCTCTGGAAAGGATGGAAAAGTTAAGGCTGGCACTAAGCAATAGCTGAATTGTAACAAAGTATGAGTGTGGAAGGGAGTACAAAAAGAAAGACCTCAGTTCAATATCCAAGATTGAGATTCCACATTTTCTGATCTTTTTTTGGTTTTAGAATAAAAGTTGAATGAGAAAGAAGCTCCATTTGAATTAAACAACAGTGTTTTGAAGTTTTAGAGTTCATCTAAGGCTAAAAATGTGACACTAGGCTTTTCCAAAAGCCTCACAATATTTCTTGGTTTCACCTACATTAAGAAATACCACACAGCACGCCTTTCTTGTGGTAGAGAATTTTACTGTGTGGTGCTTATTCAATTCCCTACCACAGCACAGAAATGTCACAGAAAAACAAAGCCAACAAACAAAATGAACTTTTCTTACATCAAGAGAAGTTTAGATTGTGCAGGCTTCAGGTTTGGGGTTTTCAAAAATGATGAGTAGTTCTTTTTCTATATGATGTGGTTTGCCAATTATTTCACTCTGGCACAACAGGACTTCCAGTCATGCCTAACTGAAGGTTCTCCATTTTACCACTGGGAACAGCCCAAAGCTAAAAACCAACACTGGACATTTCTGGAGATCAGGACCTTCTTTGGAAGTGAATATCTTGTGACAATTAAAAGAAATTGCTGCTTGCAGTTATGTGATTTGACTCAAGTGTTGTAAAGGACCTAGAAGGTTGGGAGGGAAGGAGTTATATGTTGGAGAACCTATGGGTTCTTTTCTTACTCATAACCAGAAGATTTAGAAGTCTACAAAAGGGTAAGATACACTTATTTGCATGAAGAGTCCTTTCCAGAAAGAAAAAAACATGTCATTTCTATCCATAGGCTACACAGTGAGGGGTGGCTGTTGGATGTATTTCAACGCATTCATGGTGAAGAAGGTACATTCTTCGTTCCATTGGACTTAGAGATTTCCATTCAGGAACTGAGCTACATTATGAAAAGAGCTGAGCAGTGGAGAGGAATCAATGGTGAAAGACGGATGGTGAGTGGCTAAGAGTGATAAGAAGAGTCAATGAATCACTAGTCCAAATTCTTTTATTTCTTGGATGAGGACAGAAATATATAAGGAAATGATTTGTGGGGGCTTTTTTTTTTTTTTTTTTTTTTTTTAAGAAGATAATTTCAAGAGAAGGGTGTATGTCCATTCCCTGAACATCCTGAGGGATTTCAGTCTGCTTAGCATCTCTTTAGAGAGATGACAGCATCACTGATGGCAAAAATTATCTATGCCATCTGAAGATTTCTGATTGGGTTACAGAGACTTGCTATGTGTTCAAATGTGAGTAGCATCCTAGAAAAGCTCTCAGCAAACTGAAATGCTACAGACAATTTGAATCTGCTCTCTGGAAGGGTATGGATGGGACTGATCAGAGGAGGGGGACATGAGGATAGTGGGTTAGGAGTTGTGACAGTCAGTGTCTTTCCCAGCCCTTCTAGAACTATCCAGAAGTGTGGACTGAATTGGAACTGTGCACTGAGAGTTAGGAAAGGTCTGAAGTTGGTCTGAGCTACTGTGGTTATCAAACAATTCTGCTTTCTTTTCTGTTAGGACGCTAGCCTCTAAGCCCATATCCAGATTTAAAGCTGTGATGTGCAGGAAATATAATTATACCTGTGTTTGCAAAGTGTCTGGCTTTGGGGTTCCCATCCACAAATGAAGCTTCTGATCATAATGGCTTGCAAAGAATTGAAAACACCTGAAGCTGCATGGTCAGTAATCTGCAAGATATACATTTTTCCTTGTTCTCCAGACACCTTTGCATCATCATTATTAATTACCATAGAACTATCTCAAAAACAGCTCTTGAACAATAATTAACGTGCTCATCAACTGGATTAATACATCTATGACTGCCTTAGAACACAAAGCTTTGCTCAGCAACTCTTCTGCTTCAATGTAAAAATGAACAGATTCTAGATAGGAAGGAAATTTTCCCGCTTAAGCATGTCTGAGTTTGTTTTCTTTTCTTTTCTAGCCCACTGGAACAAGTGATTTCACATTAGGGTCTGCAGGTTTTTCAAGTCTCTAAAGCTACCTCTGAAAGATCAGCAGTTTATATAAATATATAGCCTCAGTTGTCACTGCTATAAACATCTGGTACAGTTGTAACTATTTTCCACTTTTTTTCTTGATGACAGTTTGGACCCTGCAAGGAAAAATAAAAAGGTGAATGTGCCAATTGAATGAAAAAGCAGATACTCAGTAAGCTTTGTTTTTCCTGAATTGCAGAGCACCAAGCTGCATTTCAGCATGGGGGAGGGAAAGCACTTCCACAGCCGTTTCCCTCAGACATTCCCAGTTTTTATACAGATAGTACTTATTTGCTTTATAACAGCAAGAAAATAAGCTTTTTGTGTCTTTTTTTTTTTCCCCACTTAGAAACTTTTTGCAGAAAGTCAAAACAAAGCTATTAATGACTGGTTACTACTACCTTTGTTAGATGTTAAGTAAGGTCAAACAAAAAATATATGGTGGATCTCATTTTACATGCCAGGACAACCAGTACCATATGGAAAAGGTGGTGGATAAGGCAACTGCAAACAACTGCTTTTCTGTTTTAGGTATTGAGTACGTTTCTAATGATATTACCAGCAGATTGTTTCTTGTAGTAGTGCTTAAAGATCTAAGTGACAAAAAAAAAAAAAAAAAAAAAAAAAAAAAAAAAAAAAAAAGATAAAAGAAATGACAAGTAGGAAAGGATGGGGGTAAAAAACAAATGGAAGAGAATGGAAATAAAAATTGCTTTTCTATACACAAATAGTCCACACATGACTGACAGAAATCTGGAGCGTCCACTGCTAAAATACAGCATGGTATCATATTTAACATGACAGTATATTATGAAACGTGACCAATGGCTATGATGGCTATGGACATAAAGTAAGCATCTAGTTTTGCCTCATCGAAGGGGACCTGAACTTGCTCTGAGATCCTTTAAAATGTGGACCCAGCCCCAGTCAGATCCAGTAGCCAGAAAGGTGCAATCAGAGCAGAAAGAGGACACTTCTGTGTGGCACAGAGAACAATGCTATCTCATTTCAGCAAAGTAGGATGATGCCTGCTTTAATCTCTGTCTTAAGATCCCAAATTTTTGACTCTTATTCTGCCTGCATCTTCATCATTGTCATGCCTTTCCTTTATATCAGCCCTAGCTAAAAGCAAAGCTGTGATAGTGTCAAACATTCCTGTTCTCTGTGGGATGTGCTATTGCAATCAATATGAGCAGTAGGATTCTCCTATTTCCCCCACTGGGCTCAGAATCTGCCTCACAATAGGTAAAACTTGTGAGTGGAGAATTCTGCCCCGAACTCCTGAGTTATCTGCATGAATGTTGTGGAAAAAAAACAATGTTCTCCAGAAACGTGAGATGTCCCCCTTCCATTCCAATCTTTTGCTTATATTTTGGTGGAAAAGAGGACCACTGGACCAATTTCATTTCTTCTTTGACAAGTCTAGGTTTCTAGTAAAAACATGTTCTGCTCCTGAAATAAGTTCTCCCTATGCAGCAAGACCAAGAGCTGTGTTTTCAGGTCTTTCATATTCCTTGGCATTGCAGATACTCACAGATCCTTTTTTTCTGCCATGAATTTGCATAAGGTATTTGTCTTGTCTCTTTCTTTATGTATGTCTAGTTGTACAAGGTAATCAGTATGGAAGACACATCACTAGGCCTTATTGCGTGCATTATTAATGTGTTAATTTTTAAATAAGATACCAAATTAACTGTGAGCAATTTTTAAAAAGAGAAGCGTGAGCATATCTTATATTGCTCCATATAAAAAATATGTTTTAAATGGAGGTCATTCAAGTAAATAGTCGGTCAAACCTTCTGGAAAAAAATAGGCCTGTGTCTTTGCAGTATTTTCTTGCTATTAACCATGTGCTTCTCATTTTTATTCCCTGGATTAAAAATTGCCCCATAAATGGGTATTTTATAATATGCTTAATTTCCTTTTATTAAATTGATAAATGCAGGAGCAGAGGACACATTTACAGTATGATGAGAATTTAAGGTTATTGCATTTTATAATTTTTATATTGTTCAGAGAAGCGATTTGTCATCTGGGGAATGACATCCATGCCATCATTTCGAAGTATTTTTAGTCATTCTTTTGATAGGAAAAAGGTCACTTTCTGTAGACCAGGAAGACATCACTCTATTAAACTAATTTGCCTACATGCAAATTTTGTCATTTTTACCTCATTAAGTATTTATCATAGAGTAAAAAAATATATATATTCATGAAGGGGCAGCTAGCAGCCTGATGGAGCTGGAACTAATATTTTGCAACTCTAATGATTTTTTGCATCCTTAATTAGATAGCATAAGGTTGATATGATTAGGTCAGGATGTAGTGTTTTTCATTAAAATACATTTTAGAAGCTGTATTCATAATCTGCCCTTGCAATTAAATAATGAGCCTATGAGTTTAATATTATCGACCCAATTATTATCCCATGGAAAAGTATACCTTAATAAATTTGTGCCGTAGGACCTTCATTAGCAACAAAACGAATTATATTTCCAGGTACACAGATTACATGGCCACAATCACATTTACGCAGCAGTCTGGAATGCACTGCGGGGAGAGAGCCACCAGAGCCCGGCACAGCACAGAAACACACTTGATTATTTTGGAAGAAGTCATCGACAATGTATTTAATGAGGCAGGCTGCAAAGAAGTAAAAATGCCACCTACAAATTCAGGCAGAAGCATTTGCAGCAACTGTGTCCTGTGAACCTTCTAGAAGGGGGAAGCATGAGCTCCCACCTTCCATCCTGTTACAGATAGAGAGATGGATGTGACCATTTATGGAGCTTTATGGAGGTAGGCATATGTTAACTTTGTTATCCCATATTGGGGATACCAGAACCAAGAATAAATAGCAATCCATTGACCCACCATTGATCAGTGGAAAAACAGGATTTCAGTATAGCTTTTTTCTTGTTGGTAGATATTCCTAAAGTGACAATATCTCGCTGTTCTCGTCAAGCAATCACTTTGGGAAGGGAAAAATTTGACTGTTATCAATTTTTATGGGATTTAGACTGCAGGGTACCACCTCTTCTTGCATTAGGACTTTTAGCATAGTGCTACAGACAAGGAAAGTTAGACAAGCACTAAGCTGAAACAACACCTTTAGTATACCAAGCATGTACTCAAAAACCTTGCACATAGAGTAGCTTTCTGAAAAAATGCAAGCTGTATAGGCAAAAAGATAATGTGAAACTTACACTTCAAGTAAAGCTTGATGCACTGCAAAATAATTTTAATGAGACTAGAGCTCATTTTCTAATTCTAAAATGATATTATAGAAAACCATAAAAAATTACCCGGCAGTAGTTTTTTGAAAGGAAAATATATTTGTAATTATCTTGAACACGCAAGATTACTTCAGGGCCTATTATCGACACAATTTTGGTACCACTTTACAGTAATTTGCATTTATTACTCTCAGGCCAACTATTAATATGTTAATAAATAAGTCATTAATACTTGTTATTTAATTGCTATCTATTTATTCCTGTTCAATAATGCATTAATTACTTGTGAATAGTTGAGGGCAAAATCCTGCCCTTGCTAGTGCAATCAGCAGTGGCAGAGAGGAAACCAGTATTGGACATGTTAGCATTGCAAGAACTGCTGATCTGACAGAGCGCAAGTGCTTTAACCCATTTGGTGCAAGGAGAACATTTCATTCTGTTGGATGAAGCCTAATGAGTCTCCACATAGCTAGTGAATATGCTTGGAGGACAATTGGTGTGTTTTCTGTTTGAAGGCTGAGTGCTATTCTTAGTGGATTGCATTCCTGGTTTTTGAGCAAACTGGTATGTAGGAATGGATAGTGAGACTAGGCCAAACGTAGGGCAAGGATGTCTGACTGAATCAAACAGATTTGATTATCTGAAATTTGATATCTCTGTAGTTGCATGATAAATCTTACCCACGGACACAAGTAGAAGTGTTTCCATTGCCTTGCAGGAAACATGATTTCCAAAAGACAGGTGAAAAGTAGCAAAGATGGTTGTTATTTTGGGCAGTAATAATAGTTAGGTAGAATAAAGATAGGAAGAGTTGGAAAGAATAATAACGTAGTTCAGAATTGTGGGATTCTGAAGGAAAAGTCAGCAAAGCACAAGGTGATAAAAGGAGAAAAGAAAGGAAAGTTGTCTCAGAATTTATGAAGAAGACACAACGATACTGAAGAAAAGGAATTAGAACAGAGATGCCAGGTAAAACAAGGTGATGTGAAAAGAGTTACACAATTGTGTTACTTCTGGTCGCACTAAGAGAAAGCTCCTCTTAACAAATTAAAGATGATATCACCAAGTTAGAGATCACTGTGCTGCAAATGGACAAATGAAAACATGTTGAGAGAGCAAAAGAATAGAAAGTGTTAATTTTCTTTGTATTTTTCTTCTTTTCACAAAAATCTTCCCAATGGTGAGTTGTACCTTATATGTTTAAGTTCTATCACCCCGTGTATATGAGATTTAATGTCTTCAAAAACAACAGATGGCTGTGATGAAAGATAAGACCTTATAATTGTGGCTTGTGGTTTCTTTTCCCCAAATTAGTTCCGGTGATCTTTGGGAATCCTAGCAATTTGTGAGTTCATGATCGAGCTTTTTCCTAAGCATAACCCATGCTATATAACTTTCTGAAACCACTCACTGGAGATTTCCACACACTGTTTCCAGCAATTTGGATTTTACCCAGAATCTAAAAGGTTTTTTTTGAGCTCTGAGAGTACAATAGGAGATCAGTAAGAAGCAGTAAAGCCAGTTTTGAGCATATGCAGAAATATTAGCAGTAATATGGGATTTGATCTTTTAGCCAGTATGAATAAACCATTAGATTTATCTGGGCTAACGCACAGTTGTTTTAACTAGTACCACTAAACTCTGCTACTCTGAGACAATTCTGCTCAGCAGATAGAGATGACAATCTAGGTAATAAAAAATAATAATCTTTCTGCTACAGAAATGGTTGGAGGGAAAACTTTACTGGTTTGCGGTCCAACATTGACTTCATTAGGGCCAGCGTTTCTATCTGTCTAAGCAAAGGAGAAGGGAGGAAATAGGGCCACGTCTCACTGAACTTCTTTGTGATCTGTGTATTTAATATCAGATTCTCATCTGGGGTAAATTATTGAAGGCAGAGTCTATATTTTTTTTGAATATTGAATGGTGATTGAAAGTCATGAGATGAGCAGAGGGAAAGCTCAGCCCACTGATAGAATGTTAGAAAAATAAAGCAAAATGTAAGGTCCGAAAAAGAGCGTAGCATTCCATGGTCTCTTAACTTTAAAATATACTAATTCTCTATGAAACTTTGAGGCCTTTCTTGAAATGTGTAGGATCAAATTGACCAAATGGCTCTGAAGCACTTCACTTGCTGTTCTTTTAGAGTATTTAGTTCACAGGGAAGTGAAAAGGAAAAAAGAAGGCTGGATGCATTTGGAATGGTCAATTCTTCTGGATATATCCGGGTATGTCATTAAAATCTCACAACAGTTGATTATTAATTTGTCACAAATTGTGTATGTTTCATCTGCTGCAATAAAGAAGGTGATGCATAGTAGGTAAAATGATAGATTCTTTTGCCTGGGTAGTTATGTCTGACAAGTGGAACTACAATGAGCCAGTAGAGTGAAATTGTATAGGCCTTTCTTGAGGCCGTGTTGTATCCTTCTTAAGGAAACAGCAATTAACAACTGATGAAAGAACAAATAGGTGTGTGAGCTGCTCTGAATCTGAAGCTCACATGGCAACAAATTAATAGAATTTCAAAAAGATAAATTCTGCAGAGGCAAGGTTACGTACATCGCTTCTTTTTTTAATTTTCATTTGATATATGATAAGGCTATACATTGAAAATGAAATGATGTAGTCATGGAATTTGTTTAGGGAGGGTTGTAGACACAATCTTGTTTTTAGAAAACGTATTTTGTTTCCATCTTCAAGAACTAATTTGTTCAGGGCTCCTTCGCTATCCCTATTATATCCACAATATAGGATTTCCAGACTGAATGGTAACAAATCATTTTAATCCTATAATCAATACATGAATTATATAAAGGTGTTAGTGCAGGTGGAAAAAATTAATTGTCTGCTGACATCCTTCTGATTACTATACTGGCAGAAAGGTGTTAATTTCTGTAATACTTCAACAGATATCCAAACTGTTTTGTCAGATAGGTTGGACAGTGATGGAGGAGGAGTACACTTAACTGTAATTTTTGTAGTAATTCATGGGAAGCTTTATTGACACGTGCTAATGGCACTTGATTGCCCTCAAGAGGTTTTCACAACAGAACTCTGCAAGTGCCACATCAAGGTTTGCTCAGTCAAGTAGTTTTTTTTCTCCTTGCATCCAGATAATTTGTGACCACAGGCAAACTTTTGAAAATCCAAGGTGGTTTGGAACAATCCATTGGGGTGAATCTGTCATCAGCTGGCTCGTACAGATTGGTGCACTAATGAAGAGCAAGCTCTTTGTGTTTTTTGTCATTTCTGTGCAAGCAATCCATTTCATTTCTCCTCAGTGGCAGGGCATGTTATACATCTCATCCCATATAATCTCACTTACATTATAATTTGATTCATACACATCCTTTCCACAGAGATTAATTAGCAGCAGATTTTAAGTTTGCAAGTGAAAATATGATAATTAGTTTTCTTGGAATGTTAACATTTCAACACTTCGGGTTCTCTCCATCTTTGTCTTCAATGAAGCTGCAGTAAACGAGCACTATTTCTCTTCTAAATCAGACTCTTGTGAGGTTTGAAATACAGACATTTTCATCAAGCTGGATAATTTCCATACAAAATTTACTAGCTTATGAAATATTGCAAGAGTAATTCATACAGCAACTCCCTCCTCCTCCTGGAGGATGAAGTATGTATGATGTGAGCAGTTCTGAAAACCCCCAGGATAGTCACTTATTTAACAACAGTGATTTCTATTCTTTGTAACAAAAATCAGCTGACTCTTCATTTTTGCACAAAATAGAATCAGCCAATAGGTCTCTTGTACAGTAGTTGTGTAGTGTTATAAACATGGTTGCATTAATATCTTTGACTCTGCTCTCATTTATTCTCTTGGAGCGTATAATTCAAGCATTGGTGCATACAGTATCTCTATGTCTAGTCACTTAGCATGATTCTGACTAGAATTTGCCACTTACCTGAATTATGAGAACACTCAAACAGTTAAAACAGCGACTAGAAACGTTGCATGAAAGATCAACCCTGATGATTTTAAGACAGCGTAATTGCTAACAGATGGGGCTTAAGAAGAAAATTGTATTATGAGAAAGTTATTGTATTTTTGTCAGTTACAGGTAGGTGTAAGTGATTAAAAGATAATATTGTTTAATTATTTATGATTTCTCCTCCTTAATATATTGATTTTTTCTTTTTTTTTTTCTTTTTTTGGCAATGATATGATCTTTAAAATCCCCGATCTTCTGTAATTACTGAGTCCATCTCAGCTTCTTACATCTTTAGCATTACTTATTCGCTGAGCTTGGGCAGGGTAGTGTAGATGCCCGTTGATCCTGGCAGGAAAGTGGGGTAATTCAAATGTTTCTGCTAATGTTCCCATTATATGTGGATCACCACATGATTATAAGCTTGTGTT